TATATACATATATTTATATGTATAGGCATTTCCCATTTCAGTTGCAGCTGCTGCTGCTGCTGCTCTGAAGTAGTTGTGCTTGAAAGTTCTATGCAGCCCACTGAGTGCACCCAAAACAAGAACTCGAAATAACAACTGGACGTCCACAGCCACAGCCGCAGTCGCAGCAACAGCAGCAGCGGCAGCAGATGATGCAATTGACATCAAACACAAAATTGTCAAATGTCAAAATCTAGCCAAGATTTCAGCATCCATTGGCATTCAGCAGACGCAGTTGTGCATTGTATGCGGACCCTTAAAAGTCCTCAGTGCCGAGCCTCGAGCCTCGAGTCCTGAGTCCTGTTCCGTAATCTTTCGTGCGCTCGCTTGTAAATACCGAAACACCTTTCCTTTTTTTTTCGTTGCGACGCAGGCGTCGCCTCTTACCTTGGCGTGGGTCCAGGTGTAACTTTTATTGTTGAATATGTATGTATATGTGTGTGTGTTTATATGTATGTGTGTAGTAGGCATTGTCCTCTCTGTAGTTTCATTTTTGTTGTTGTATTGCTTCGTTGCCCCCCTGCACAAGTTTCTTTCATAACATTTTCTTCTTCTTCTTCATTTTCTTTTCTTCATTCGATAATTGTTAATATGTTGCAATGGGCAGCTGCTGAGCTGCTCGAGTGGCATGAGCTAAACTGTGTATAGCTTAGAAATTGTTATTTGACTAGCTGTAATTTGGGCTACCTTTAATTTCTTCAACTATTCTTTCGCATTTGATTTGCGAAATGTTTGGTATTTCCAGCCGTTGTTATGAATTACTTTTGCCTATTAGTTAAATTAGCTATATTAACCATATCAGTTGTTAGGTCTATAAGCATATTAATATATTATCTATCTAATCGGTCTACAACCCATATATATCCCCTATATCTTATTGATTTATCTACATACTCGATAAATATTTATTGGTCTATCGATCCACTCTATCTATCGGATCTATTTAGCTACTTTAACTACTCTATCAATGTTTGTTTAAAAACTCTAGTTAACTACTTTATCTACCTAGCACTTTATCTGCTCTATATAATATCGTATCTTGTTTTAATTAATTTATATATTATCTCATTTATTATTTCTGTCACTCATACTATCTATCTATATAAGTCGGGGCTTCCATATCAATATGTTAGTCAGTCTATCAATCAGTTACGGGCTGCCTCTTAGAAATTCCTGATGTAAGTCAACCAATAAGTCTGTCATCATGCAGTCTATCGTCCACAGTCCGACATTTCAATCAGTCAGCCAACACACTAAAATGACAAATCGCTGGCCCGCTCCTCTCAGTTAAATGATTCTAAATTAGCCCAAAAGCCTGTCAAATTGTGCCAAACTTCAGCTCGGACTGTATAGCAGCTTTATAAATGATTGTGTAAACATGCCGCAGCTATCCCAAAGGACAGCCGGACGGACACACAATAACAAACACTCATATTTCGTGGCAATGATACGAAAAACTGACCCCTGGTCAGTCAGCAGCGAATAAACGGAGAAAGGGGTTAAATGGATGTCATAGCTAGTTTTTCGCGGTTGTCCGCATGACTTGCACGAAATTTATCATCGTAGAACTTCATTATGACACTCTTAATGTCCGAGAGAGAGAGAGAGAGAGTGAGAGAAAGTGAAGTGTCCTGTAATTAATCATGCAATTGGTCTAAAGACTGCATGACAAAATGGATTAAGCAAAGGTCCTGCAGCCGCAATTGTTGCGGTAGTTACGCAAATTTTTAATGAATAGAAAAGTTGGAAACTTAATTTTGAATAAATGATATGAGATTTAATAGGGAGAGGGGAGAATCAAAGATGAAACATGAGTCCAAATCTGCTAATGATAGAATCAGAAAGTCAGTAAGAAACAGGAGAAGCAGAAACCAAGACAAATTAGTTGTCCAAGACCAAAGATAATGCAATCGGAATAATGTAAATATATAAAATTACGTTTGCTAACATTAGAGTAGTCAACTGATCTTTTAGGGTGACGGCTAAGTTTGAATAGTATATGCTATATTTAGATATATAATAAAACAGTATTATAGTATATA